TGGTGAAATATTATGGAGTATGCTTATAGCTTGGCTATATGGCCACAATTGCTATCTCTTCTTGGGTAACATAGGGAGAAAAAGCTCCCACCTCCAGGAAAGATGTGTGATCAAAAGGACCAAAAGCAAAAGTAATATAATGCATAGACAAAAATCACCATTTTGGAGCAGAAATGAAGCTGTGGTCAACTGTCCAGAGCTACATGGTTAGTGAATGTGCAATTAGAAGCCTCCAGTAGGGGGTGGGGGTGTCCACTCTCTCAGGCCCCTCCTCTAGTCACTAGAGGTGTGCAGGTAGATATTGGGGGGCTAGGAGAAAGATTGTCCACTATTTTTGTCTCTGAAGTTCAGTTATGCATCTGCGTGTGCACAGCACAATTCTCGGGATGGTTGAGCCCTTTTATGCTGGGGTTTTACAGATTGCTTTGAATTGGTCCTGCGTAGGGAACTCGGGCAGCGCAGTGGCCGCGGACTGCAAGGTCAGCAGCTTGAAACCACCAGCCTCACCGCCGGAGAAAGGCGAGGCGCTTAGCTCCCGCCCAGCCCCACAGCCCCGGGAACCCCACACAGGGTCGTCAAGTCAGAACATACTCCCAAGTTGTCCCGCTTGGTAAACTTCTGGGTCTGTGGCTCCACGGGTGACATCAAAAGTTGCCGCCAAGCTCCCTCTCTCTGTACCATGGGAAAACTGTCCTGCCTGATGTCCAGGCTGAGCAATGGAGGTGAGGTGGGACAGGGAGAAAGAGGGAGAAATGTGTAGTCTCCCCCGTTTTTTTTTTTTTTTTTTTTGCAGATGCCTCTGCACTGCTTTTAGCCTAGTTTTCTGACCTGGACTGGCTTTAGCCCCATCCTCTAAACTCTGCCAGGGTGAGGCAGTCACTGAGGGAGTCCCATGTCCAGATTCCTAACTTGCAGTATTTTCCTTAATATTGTGATTTTTTTACTTGCGAGTGCAGGAAACTTACATCCTGGATTTTATGGTAGATCTGGAGCTCTGGAGTTGTTCTATGAACGCTTCCTTGGTGAGATCCCCCTCCCTTCTCAGTGGAGTGTACCCTACCTGGTTTTCGCTGCTATAGCCCCAACCGGAAGTCCCGCCTCACTTTCTTGAAAGATTTCAATTTTTATTCCATCAATTCCTGGTGCCTTGTACTTTGCCATTTGGAACCACCAAAAGGTTGGTGGTTCGATCCCACCAGCAGCTGCTTGAAAATCCTATACAGGGTTGCTATGAGTCAGAACCAACTTGGTGGGTGTTCAAAGAAGCTTCAAAAAGTTTGTGGGAAAAATTCATTTCAGCTGTCAGACTTTTTGGAGCCCTTTCTCATTCACAGGACATATAAATACAATGTAGAAATATCCTGTCTAACCTACTTATAGTCCCATGCACCTGCCCACCCCAGTGCACTTGCGTACCTTTGTATCCACTCGTTGTGACTCTCCCTCATGGGGCTCTCTCTCTTCCCCGTGATGTGGGGCTGTGGCAATTGTCCTGATTCAGCCTTTGTAGCAAGCCATTTCCCGAACCCCAACTGTCACCACAGCCCCAGGAGAAGTGGAGGGAATTACTCAGCACACACGGGATTCTCACAAGGGGCCCGATTCCTCAGCCAGATTCTCATTTGTTCTTGAACTTGTTCTATAGACCTAGAGTGTACTTTGCTCTTACTAAGCCACATTTTCCCAAATATGCATGATTTTTCCAGGCTGGCAAGGCAGACTTGTGACCCAAGCTCTAAATTCGTCACACTGGGTGACCTTCCCTTGAGTCCCCCATTAGTACAGCAAATAGACCATGAGTCTGAGATAGTAGATACATAGCATGAATGGAGCTACCTGGTGCTCATAGCAGACCTTACTAATCAAGTTAGGCTCATTCATTCTGAGCTTGGTTGCAGCCAGAATTCTCTTCACTCCAGGGCCCTAGGTAGCAACTACACACTGATCTCTTGCATTTGCTGTGTCTGATCTAACTTCCGTCCAAGTTCTCATGTCTTCTGTCCTCACTTAACTTTCAGCCCTTCCTCTCCCCCATCTTCCCCCAGCCTCTAAAAAAGGGACTCCATACCCCTTACACCGCCACCCCCCGACACTTCCCAACTGTGTAGCCTTTGTTGTTGTTAGGTTCTGAGTCATAGTGACCCTATGTACAACAGAATGAAACTCTGCCCAGTCCTATACCATCCTCACAAGTGTTACACTTGAGCCCATTGATGCTGCCACTGTGCCAATCCATCTCGCTGTGGTCCTTCCTCTTTTTCACTGACCTTCCATTTTACCAAGCATGATCTCCTTCTCCAGGGACTGGCCCCTCCTGATAACATGTCTGAAGTTTAAGCAATGAAGTCTGGCCAATCCCGACTTCTAGGGAGCACTCTGGCTGTACTTCTTCCAACACAGATTTGCTTGTTCTCCTGGCAGTCCAAGGTACTTTCAATATTTGCTTCTAACACCTAAATTCAAATGCATTAATTCTTCTACAGTTTTTCTTATTTATTGTCCGACTTTCACATGCATATAAGGCTATTGAAAATACCATGGCTTGGGTCAGGCACACCTTAGTCTTCCAAGTGACATCTTTGCTCTTGAACACTTTTAAAGAGGTCTTGTGCTGCCGATTTGCCTGATGTGATACATAATTTCCTGACTGCTCCTTCCATGAGTGTTGATTGTGGATCCAATCAAAATGAAGTCTTCGGCAACTTCAGTCTTTCCTCCATTCATCATGTTTTTTGTTGCTAAGTGCCCTCAGGATGGTTCTAACTCAGCACCCTTGTATAGGGTTTCCAACAAGCAGCTGGGGAGTTTGAACCACCGACCTTGTGGTTCAAGCTGACCTTGCTGTGGAGTGCATATCCTACAGCGGCACACTGGTCCAATTATAAGGACTTTTGTTTTCTTTACACTGAGGTGCAACCCATATGGAAATCTATTGTCTTTGATCTTCATCAGTAAGTAAGTTTAAGTCCTCTTCACTACCAGCAAGCAAAGTTGTATCATCTGCATATTGCAGGTTCCTAATGAATCTTCCTCCAATTGTGATGCTGAAGTGGATTTCTTAACCTCTCTGAGCCTCTGTTTTGTGCTCTGTCAAGTGGGGCGGATGTTTGCCCTCAGTTATGGTAGGAATGTGTCTGTTGTGCATGCAGCCTGGTAGGTACTTGGCAAGCATGGGACCACTCCCTTGCTGGACTGTTCCTGGTTCTGCCAGGCAAACCACATGAGGGTTGCAATGGGGGATTGGCAGAGAAAACACCACCACAGTCGTTCCGTGACAGATGTGTTTATTTTAGTCCCTGCATCCTCCCCTCAACTCAGCCCCAAAGGCAGATTGACCCCATCTTGTCCTTTCAGGGGGTGAGAGCTTTCTGTAGCCCCAGCCACAAAGGCCACAGTACCATCTGTTTGTAAACCTACACCAGGTGAGGGTGAGGCACCCGGCCCTACCAGCTGGGTCTGGCCAGGGCTTGCGACTCCAGATAGCTCTTCACACTCCTGTGGACACCCAGAGCCTGTGGTCTGGCAGAGCAGAGGACTCTGAGAAGGAGGGGAAGGGAAACGTACCAAAACCCCAGAGGCAGCTGCAGCTGGAGAGAAGGCAGAGCTCCCTCCTGAGGCACCTCGGGGTCTGTGAGCAGGCTTTTCAGCCCCCCTCTCCTGGGGCAGTGGTGTTCACCAGACAACAGAACACAAAAACAGTGAATCAGCAAGAAATAAAACCCCGAAACATTTAAAAATAAAATTAAAACTGCAACCCCACCCACTGAGCCAGCAGTGATGAGGCCTTGATTGCAGACACACCTGCCCGCCTGCCCTCCAACCCCGCCCCAAGCTGCCCCCAGCTCCAGGGTCTCCCGAGAGGGCACCAAGGGAGCCAAGAGGCAGTCTCTGGAGCAATAAAGGTTGGAGTGGTGGTGTCCTCAGGGGGTCCCCATGTGGGACACTGAGGATTGTAAACATGACCCAGCCAGAGGGCCAGGGTGTCCTGAGCCCTATTCTCCCTGGACTATAAGCGGGCACTGTGGTGAAAAAACAGAGGCCAGACCCAAACTCCTGCTTTAGGTCTCAGACTCCCCTCGGGTAACAGGAATCTGAGCTGAGACAGGGGCACTAAGGCTGGGTCTGTGAGCTGAGACACAGGTATGGAAGTTAGGTGCATGATCTCAGACAGGGGGACCAATGCTGGGCCTGTGATCTCAGATGTGGCGGGGGGGGGGGGGGGGGGGGTAATGCTGCGTCTGTGAGCTTGCTAGAGGATATGATGGAGGAAACATCATGGAGTTGGAGGGAGAGGACTCTAGAGCCAAACAGCCTTTGTGGCTCCTGTTTCTACCACTGGGCCTTCCTGAGGGTGAGTCAGCTCACGGCCACTGCCACTCCTCACTGGGTAAACCTGTCAGAAGCCCTAAGGCATTGGATGGGTTCCAGCTTAGGCCAGAACCACCCAGGCCACCCAGGCAGGTCAGGAGGAGTAGGCCACCTCTCCGAGTGGCTCCACCCAAGCTGGGCAGAAGGGGGGTCAGGAATGTGACTTAAGGGTCCCACAGGGACACAGACACAGCCCACCAGCTGCACCTCCTTAGGTCTGGCCAAAGTCCAGGGGCTGGACGAAGTGCAGCCTCAGCCCCACTGGGAAGATGCCATGTCAGAGCTTTGTCACACACGGAAGGAGGCCTGGGCCTGCTCCCACCCACTGCCCCTTGGAGCTCCTTCAGCACCTGCTGCTTTAGGAGCCAGGCCAGCTTCTCCCGTGGGGTGGGGGTGTCCAGGAGCACAGCTGCCCAGGTGGGTCAGGTGCCTTTGCTGGGTGACTGGGGCCAGGCGGCAAGGTGCCCTCAGGGCTGGATTCTCCTCAGATTCGGGCATCATGGGCCCTCAAGGCCAAACTGCCTTCACAATCCAGCAGCTTCTCAGAGCCACAGTCTTCCAGAACCAGGCTGCTTAGAGACATCAGGGCCAGTTGTGGCTAGTTTTCCATAGGACCAAGCCATCTGGTCTCTTCAGGGCTGGACCCGGTTCCTAAGCCACTGGTCCCGAAGTGCCCTGACTTCCTGTCCGTACCACTCGTGTAACTGGGCAAAGGAGGCCCTGTCCGGAGGCTCATTGGGCACCGAGGGCCGCCGGCGGGGAGGCAGTGGCGGGGGCCCGGGCCGGCTGCCATTGTTGGTGACCATGGGGGTGGTAGGTAGCTCGGTGCTCCAGACAGCACAGCCGTTCTCCTTGGACAGGAGGGCGCGGGGCCTGCGGGGCAGTGGTGGACAGCCCCCAGCCCGCACGGCTGCCAGCTGCTGCTCCAGCTCACGCACTACGAGCCGCAGGTAGTCGAAGCTTGCCCGAGACAGTGCCTTCACCCAGCCTTCCATGGAGGCCTGGCTCTCGGCAGCCAGCACATAGGTACGCGCTCGGGTTCCAGCAAAGCGCACGGCAAAAGCGAACTCCTCGGCAGCCTCCACCAGCTCCACAGTACAGCCCTCCAGGATGATGACCCCCACAGGCTCACGGCTGGCCTGGTCCTCAAAGTAGAAGAGCATGTTGCCACGTAGCACGAACCAGCGGCGATGGTAGCTGGTGTGCCGCCCGCCCTTCTTGTAGAGGAAGCCGGAGTTGTCAGCCGGGGTGTTGCAGGTAGCGTAGGAGGCCAGGCTGCGCTCGTTCAGCTTCATGGCAGGGGACCTGCGGGGAACTGGGGCCAGATCCCACCACAGCAGCCTTATTCAATGGCCACAGTTACTGGGTGACCCTGCCCCTTGCCAAGATCTCCCAGCCACCCTGAGCCCATAGCACAGATGAGGAAACTGAGGCTCAAAGAGAAGCTGTCTGTTGGCCCACTGAGGTCAGGCCCCTAACCACATGTTGTCCTGCGCCCCCCCACCTCCCTCCAAAATAATGTCAGGGTTCCAGACTCCAGTACCAAACACACACTGACTCAGTTACTGGTTACCTCCATTGGGGACAGGGAAACCGGCGTTAAAGAGGTCACTCACTCACTCACTCACTCAAGGTCACAATGTAAGTTGGGTGGAGCTGTTTCCATCAACCCCTGGGGCCAGACCAGCTGGCCTCCAGCTATCTCTTCATGCTCCCAGCTCTGTGGAGTCTATGACTGAGCCAGGATTTAACCATCCATAAAACAGGATGTCAACAGAACCAACTTCAGAGGTTTGCCAGGACTTCAGTTATTCATCAGCTACTAAGCACCTACTGTGTGCCAAGCACAGCTCTAGGCACTAGGGATACAATCTTGAACAAGAAGCCAGGGGAGGGGAGAAAACCAGTGAACAAATTCACAGATAAGTATGTCTGCCACATGGTCTTAAATGGTGAGGAGGCAAAAAACACGGTAGGGAAGGAGATCAAAAGTGTTGGGAACAAAAGGGACATTTGTGATTCTAACAAGGTGTTAGGAGAGGCTTGGAGGAGGGGAAAGAGGGAGCCATGAGGCTATGTTGGGGAGAAGAGTCCATTCAGAGGGAATGGTGGTACAAAGGCCAAAAGAACAGCCAGGAGGCACAGGGGCTGGAATAGAGTGCAGGAGGTGGGCGATGAGGTCACAGAGACAGATCAGGACCTCATGAGATAATCCGAATAAAGACCTGGGCCCAGGGTTGTTTCCAACCTACGGGGCGAGGCGAATGTAACTTAGAGGCTGTAACACTATACACTTGGCCACAACCATTTCCTCCCTCTTCCTACAGGAAGCCCACAATGAAAATTGGTCAGGTAGGCTTTATCTCGAGGTGACCATGCCTCACCCTAGGGATTTCCTCAGCCACTCAGATGACCCACACTGACCCACACATACTCATAGGACAGCCAAGTATGTAAACTCCCTGGTATGCAGTAGGTACTCAATTAATGTTCATTCCCCTGTCTGGGTGGTGCCTTACTCAAGACCAGGAGGAATGAGGTCTGGCTCTCCCAGGAGCAGCTGACCTCAGTGGGGCCCAGCCAGGTTGCCTGACCCAGGTGGGAGGGACAATAGCTGCCAATCAAATTCTCACTGTCCTCACCACTTAACCTTGCCCACCAGGTCAGCCGGGGAGGCTTTCTGGAAGAGGTGGCATGAGGTATGATGTAGGAGCTTAGTCCAGCCTGTCACAGCCTAGCCAAGGACCTGAAGCCAGGGCTCTGAAAATCTCAGGTGTTTAATCCCTGCTCTCCCTCCCTGAACTATGTAGCTAGCCTTCTCTGGCCTCAGTTTCCTCCCCAGCAAAATGGGACTCAAAGCCCGCTGTTCACGGAAACCTCTCCCCTGCCACACCTGCTCCACTGCCCTCTTACCTGTAAGACCACAGCTTAGCTCACGGCCCTCTGTCCAGCTCCAGTCTCAACAGGCTCTCCCTGTGTTCAGATCTCAGCTTTGCAGCATCTCAGCTCTGTGACTCTGGGCAAGCTGTTAGCCTCTCTGGGCCTCTGTCTCCCCATCTGTCAAAGAGGATTATAACAAAACTTGGTCACAGCTGCTCTGAAGATGAGTCCGGATGATGCGGAAGGTGTGAGCAGTGTTGGGCCCAAGTGCACCCCTCCAGTGCTCAACTCTCAGCAAATGGTCGTGGTCTCCCAGTCCCCCACAGATGATCATTCATCAAGCCCACTGAGTCTTCCCTTAGTCCTCAATCCATAGCCAGCTCCTCATTCTAGGCCCCTTCACCACTTAACTGGACATCTGCAGCAACCTCTTCCCAGTTCCCTGCCTCCATCCATGCTCCCTGCCTATCCATGGCTCCTCAGTACCTGGGGTAATGTCTAAAGACCTTCTTTAGTCTTCTCTAGCTTCACTTTGGCTCCAGGCTTTTACTGATGTTCCCATCCACTGAGAACACCTCCTCCAGGAAGCCTCCCCTAACAGCTCAGAGTGGTCAGGAACCTCCTCTGGCTCCCACAGTTCCCCTGGGTGTCGCTGATAGCTACAGTGATCACACTGGCTTGTTATTGTGTGGGCACAAGCACCTCACACCCCCAGCCTACAGGCTGTGAGTTCCAGGAAGCAGGGATTGGCTCCTATACACACTAAGTGCTCAACCAGTGTCTTAATGTCAGCAGGGGCTTCAGAAAGAATGAGGCAGGGATACAGCCACTGGAAGATGAGGCCCCCCGGGATCCACGAGCAGCTCACAGGGTCAGAAATGGAGGTGGGGCTCCTGGAAGGGTCATGGAGGACAGGCACCGAACCGAGAAGTGGCTGGGACATGGGTGGTCAGGAATGCATCTGCACACACACCTGGCTAGACCAGCCCTGGGGTCTCACTGCTGCCTTCTTTGGCCCCACTGCCATGGGTTCTCCACAGTGAGTGATCCTGAGAAAACCCCATCCAGCCCCATCCCTGGCGCGCTCTAAGCACTCCTGGTTCCCAAATCCACTCACCACAGCCTCCAAACCTTTCCCCTCACTTGGTGCCAATCACACTGGCCTCCCTGTTGTTCCTCAAACACACTAAACACATCTCACTTCTGAGCCCCTCCTTTACCCTCCCACAGCTCTGCATCTTCCCATTTCAGCAAGACCATGGCCTCAGGAAGCTGTCCCACGCCATTCTGTACACAAGAGAGCCACACCCCCAAGTCATTCGCCCGCACCTCAACCCAAAATTACCTGGGTGGTGTTTTCCTGATCCAGGAGGGCAGGTGTTTTTTGTCTGAATTCCAGTGCCTGGCACATAGTAGGTGCTGAAGTACCCGTTGGGTGAATGAAGCAGTTATCTTTTTAAACTTCTCAATAGCCCCATGAGTAGAGGGTCTATTCCCCCAATTAAAAGATATGGAAACTGAGGCACAGAGAGGCTAAGTAACTTGCTCAAAGTGGGCCCACAATCCCATGCTTTGGTCAACCAGCTCAGGTGGAGGGAGAATGGTCTTGGTCCCTTAGAGCTAAAGGAAGAGGGACTTCCCCCCAATGGCACGCCCCTCACTGCCCAGGCAGGACAGCCTGCCTCAAGGTCACAGTGCGACATCATGGAGACCAGCCCTGACTATGGCCCCTGCCTCCTCCAGTTCGACAAGAGCAGGGAGGGCAGGAAGTAGCAGGGGCACAGGTTCCAGCCTTGCCTAGAGGCTGCCGGCTGGGGAGGGCCTTGTCCCGGGCTTATCTCCCCTGCGATTTCCCAAGAAGTTCAGAGTTTGCTTCAGCAGGCTGCTGATTCAACAGCCCATGCTAGTTCCCCAAGGCCAAGTTCCTGCCTCCACCATGTCCAGGCTGGAGGACCGTGGGCAAGTCACCTTTACCTAATAACTGTGTGGCAAGGACTCAATAAGCAAGGTAGAACAGGCTTACGTGTGCTTACTTATCTGCAGTGAATAGTTTTACATGTTTCTGTGGTGAAACTTCATACAGATGAGCAAGTAATTAATTAAGCACATGTAAACCTCAGTTTACCTTGTGACTGGGTCCTCTGTGTCCCTGTCAGGGATTGTAAATTAGAAAACACACTTGGATTCTGTAGAAAGGTGCTAAAGCGTTAGCAGAGAGACAGATGCCAGTCGAATCTTTCATGTGGTGCAAATATGTGGAATTATTTACTCCAAATTACTAAGTAAGCACAAGTAAGCCTGTGTTTACTTTGCTTGTTGGATAACCCGACTCAGGGATATGGAGAGGGTTCAAGGAGTGAGAACACAACCGGCCGATGAACTATAGGAATAGTGCCAAAAATACCTGCGCTGCCTGCGCTGCCTACTTCTATAATACCCACCCCTACAAGCAGGGGTGACTTCATTAATGCTATAGAGTCACTTTGTGCCTAGTAGGTAGTGAGGACTCAGAGGAGCTGTCAAAAAGGCAAGTAATTAGCCCACGGTCTCCATACACAGCTGGTCGACATCCTGGACTCTAGGAAAACGGAGGCACTTCATTTCGCTACTCAACAGGGAGGACTCAAGGGCAGGAGCCCAAGCGGCTCATCCTGGGGTGAAGTCCAGCCTCTCCCAGTGTCCTCCGAGGGGGCCTGCCCATCAGTAGACATATGGGAGGGTGTGGCCGGCACGGGCTGAAAAACATGTGCAGGGGACCCCGAGGAGCCGCCTGTCATGCGCTGCCCTCGCCAGTGAGCACAGAGACCCCCGTTCGGCCTGGCCCTCAGTGGGTAAGGTGTGGGTACTCTACAGTTCCTAAAAGGGCCGCCCGGGTCTCTGGTGGTGGTCAACGACAGAATGGAAATGCTTATCAGCGGCATACCCACCCCTCCTTCAACGAAGGTCCCTTATGGGGCTTGGGGTCATGGGCCACTTTCGCCCTCGCCGCTGGGATCCTTAATGGGAACGTGATGGCTGGAGCGGGTCGCAAACGGAAAGACCCAGCAGAGCACTCTCCAGGCGGCCGGAGGACTCAGGCCCGCGGTGGCCAGACCCCCGGCCCGCGTCCCTGCGCAGCTCTCCGGCCTTACCTCGCGGCGCAGGACTACGGCGGAGAATGCGGCGGAGAGAAGGGAGGCGTGAGGCCGGGGGTCGCCCGGGCCATAGCCCGGGACCCGCTCAGCTGCGGTGACTGCAGCGGTGCTTTGTCTTCCCGGCTGCCAGGCTGACGCAGCCGCAGGAGAGCGTGCCTCCTACGGAAGGAGGCGGAGGCAGTCCGATTGTCGGATCCCCGCGGGCTAGCTCCTTTAACTTTTTCCCAACCCACTCGTGCCGCCCCCGCCCCCGCCTCTGCCCCCGCGTTCATCCAGCCCCC